TGTATTCTCTGGATTTGGGGTGGAGTGTTCTGTAAATGTCTATTAGGTCTGCCTAGTCTAGATCTGCATTCAAGTCCTGGATATCCTTGTTGACTTTCTGTCTCGTTGATCTGTCCAATATTGTCAGTGGAGTGTTAAAGTCTCCCACTATTATTGTGTGGGAGTCTAAGAGTCTTTGTAGGTCGTTAAGAACTTGCTTTATGTATCTGTGTGCTCCTGCATTGGGTGTATATATATTTAGGATAGTTAGCTCTTCTTGTTGCATTGATCCTTTTACCATTATGTAATGTCCTTCTTTGTCTCTTTTGATCTTTGTTGGTTTAAAGTCTGTTGTATCAGAGACTAGGATTGCTACCCCTGCTTTTCTTTGCTCTCCATTTGCTTGGTAAATCTTCTTGTGTCCCTTTATTTTGAGTCTATGTGAGTCTGCACGTGAGATGGATCTCCTGAATACAGCACACCAATGGGTCTTGACATTTTATCCAGTTTGCCAGTTTGTGTCTTTTGATTGGGGCATTTAGGCCATTTACATTCAATGTTAATATTGTTATGTTTGAATTTGATCCTGCCGTTTTTTTACTGGCTGGTTGTTTTGCCCATTAGTCGACACGTTTTCTTCATTGTGTCATTGTTCTTTACCATTTGGTACATTTTTACAGTGGCTGGTACTGGTTGTTCCTTACCATGTTTAATACTTCCTTCAGGAGCTCTTGCAAGGCAGGTCTTGTAGTGACAAAATCTCTCAGCAATTGCTTGTCTGAAAAGGATTTTATTTATTTCTCCTTCACTTATGAAGCTTAGTTTGGCTGGGTATGAAATTCTAGGTTGAAAATTCTTTTATTTAAGGATGTTGAATATTGGCCCTCACTCCCTTCTAGCTTGTAGGGTTTCTGCCAGGAGATCTGCTGTGTGTCTGATGGTCTTTCCTTTGTGGGTGACTCAACCCTTCTCTCGGCTGCCCTTGGGATTTTTTCCTTCATTTCAACCCTGGTGAATCGGACAATTATGTGCCTTGGGATTGCTCTTCTTGAGGAGTATCTTTGTGGTGGTCTCTGTATTTCCTGGATTTGAATGTTGGCCTGCCTCGTTAGGTTGGGGATGTTCTCTTGGGTAATATCCTGAAGAGTATTTTCCAGCTTGGATTCATTCTCCCCGTCACATTCAGGTAAACCGATCAAGCATAGATTAGGTCTTTTCACATAATCCCATAGTTCTCGGAGGCTTTGTTTATTTCTTTTCACTCTTTTTTCTCTAATCTTGCCTTCTTGTTTTATTTCATTGATTTGATCTTCAGTCTCTGATATCCTTTCTTCTGCTTGATCAATTCAGCTGTTGAAATTTGTGTATGCCTCGCAAAGTTCTCATGCTGTGTTTTTCAGCTCCATCAAGTCATTTATGTTCTTCTCTAAGCTGGTTATTCTAGTTAGCTTTTCATCTAACCTTTTTTCAAGGTTTTTAGTTTCTTTACATTGGGTTAGAACATGGTCTTTTAACTCAGAGAAGTTTGTTATTACCCACCTTCTGAAGCCTGCTTCTGTCAATTCGTGAAACTCATTCTCTATCTTGTTTTGTTCCCTTGATGGTGAGGAGTTGTGACCCCTGGGAGGAGAAGAAGTATTTGGTCTTTGATGGTTTCATCCTTTTTGCACTGGTTTCCCCCCATCTTCGTGGATTTATCTCCCTTTGATCTTTGAGGTTGGTGATTTTGGGAAGAATCTCTGAGCGGACATCCTTTCTGTCAAGGTTAGAGCTGTATCTTTCTTGGCCTGTACTGGCGCTGCTGGGCTGCCTCAGATTCAGTCAGGTTACTGGGTGGGCGGTCTTCCCTGGGAGTTTGTTCATGCAGCTGAGGTTAGCCCCGCCTTCCCAATGGTGTCTCTCCTTCCCCAAGCTCAATCTTCCCAACTGGCATCAAACTGGTGTATTTGCTGCGAAGCTTTCTAGCGTGCGGGCTTCAGTTTGAGTTTTGTGAGGGTAGGACCTGCCAGGCCTTATGGCCTGTTTTGCTTTCAACTCTGCCTCTTTCTGTGACATGGGTCCGTCCTGCAGGTGTTAGTCCATACTTCAGCCCAGGCCCATGCTGACAACTGTGGCACCAGGCAGGAGCCGTCACTCAGATTTGTATGGACAACCCACGGTGCCCGACAGTCCGGCAGGGCTCTCGTGGACTGTGGGTTGCAGGAGGGATGAGGGAAGCACAGGATCCAAATTGGAGCACCAAGGGGGTAAAGTCCCTGACCCTCCGAGCTGGCTGCACGTTCCAGGTAGGGATATACCCTGCCCTGTCTCGGTTCTCCCTCCCTGGGCTGCTCTCACCCTGCTTTGGCTCACCCTTTCATGGGCTATTTTCAGTGTCCTACCAATCCCACCGAATCAAACCTAGCACCTCACTTGGAATCATGAAGTTCTCTGCGTCTCATTCCCTGGGAGCTGCATTCCAGTGTTGCCTCCTCTTGGCCATCTTGGCACCCCAAAACTTTCATTTTTAAAAACTGTGAATGTTACCTCTGCTGGCCCTTGCTCCACCAAACTCTAGCATGAAGACCAGTGGTATAGACTAATTCAAACTCATGGCAACAGTGGTTCCAAATGTTAGATTTTTACTTACCTGTATAAAATTTTGAGATGCGTCTCACTCTGTTACCCAGGCTAGAATGTAGTGCCGCAGTCTTGACTCACTGCTGCCTTGACCTCTCCACACTCAGGTAATCCTCCCATCTCAGTCTCCCAAATAACTGGGACTATAGGTGCATGTCACCACATCTGGCTAATTTTTGTATTTTTAGTAGATATGGGGTTTCACCATGTTGTCCAGACTGGGCTCAAACTCCTAGACTCAAGTGATCCACTCACCTTGGCCTCCCAAAGCGCTATGATTACAGGGGTCAGCCACCACTTCTGGCCCTACCTGTATAATTTTTTAAGCGTCTTAAGTTTTGTGCTGCTATAACAGAATACCTTAGACTGGGTAATTTATAATGAACAGAAATTTACTAACAACCTGGAGGCTGGAAAGTCTGACATCAACATGCCAGCCTCTGTGAGGGCCTTTATGCTGCATCGTCACATGGCAGAAAGAGTTGGGGGGGGGGGGCCCACACTGGCCCTTGTATACACTAATCCCACCCATGGGAGTGGCGCCCTTATAGCCTAATCACCTCTTAAGGGCCCCACCTCTTAATACTATTACAATGACAAGTAAATTTCAACATGAGTTTTGGAGGGGACAGGCATTCAAACCATAGCACTAAAATGAATGTCAGAGAAAATAACACTGAAGATCTCTATTAGGCCATTCTTGCATTACTATAAATACCTGAGACAGGGTAAGTTATAAAGGGAAGAGGTTTCATTGGCTCTGCAGGCTGTACGGGAAGCACAGTGGCATATGCTTCTGGGGAGGCCTCAGGGAGCTTTTACTCATGGTGGAAGGTGAAGCAGGAGCAGGCACGTCATGTGTGAAAGCAGGAATGCGCATAAAACAACCAGTCTTATGTAAACGCGAGAGTGAGAGCTCACATATCACCAAGAGAATGGTCCAAGCCATTGATGAGGGATCCATCCCCAAAACCCACACCCCTCCCACCAGGCCCCACCTCCAGCACTGGGGATTACATTTCAACATGAGATTCAAGCAGAGACACACATCCAAACTGTGTCACATACAGTGAAAGAGAAGAGAAAGTACTAATACCTGTACTAGAGAAAAGCAGTTTTCTAAGTATGTCTCGGGAATGCTCCCATGACTTTTAATTGACAACGCTGTTTCTATGACCATGTTGGCTCCTAGGTTTTTAAATTTATTAAATATCTTCCCTCCCATATATGGCAATATTAATTACTTAAGACATTCTTTTTTCTTTGTTAAAAAATTAATTTGTTGCAGCTTTTGAGAATTCCAAAAGCTGGGAAGATTGTTTAGTGTTACAAGAGCAGGTGATGCAAAGGGCCAGAGGACAGCCCTCCTCCATGACTGAGTGACAGAAAAGCAATAGGGTTAAACACACGTCCTAGTGCCAGGGAGAGCTGCAGCACAGCCCTGCTGTACTGTGACACATGCCATGACCTTGGGCAAGTTACTTAACCTCCCTCTGCCTTGGTTTCCTAATCTATAAAATGGGAACAATAATGATACTGCATGGGGTCGTTGTGAAGATTAAAGCCACTGTCAATGTATCTGGCACTCACTGAGTGCTGAGAAGGTGTTTGGTGGGTGGCATATGTCCTTGGTTTGCTCAGGCTGTCTGCCTCTTGCCTTTATTCCTTCCTGTTTAGAGCTAAAAGTCTGCTGTGGTGGGGTGTTTTATATAAGAATTCATGTATTTAGTGGCTGTGATTGATCCGCTAGAGCCAACAGAAGGCCTAGACTGCATTGTGTCATTGTCGCTTACTAGCTACATAAGCTTAAATAAATCTCTTAACCTCTCTAGGTATGTTTCATCTTCTAAAAGGAATCATGAGGCTTGCCCTACTTGACAGAGTTTATGAGGATTAAAAGAAACAGGAATGTACTTTAAGATTTAAAGTGTTATTCAAGTGAAAATATGGCATTATGAGCAATTTGAAATGCGTAGATATGAAGTAAAAACTGTTTGAGGTATTGGCTTTTTTTTGAGACAGGGTATCACTGTGTCACCGAGACTGGAATGCAGTGGCACGATCTCGGCTCACTGCAACCTCTGCCCCAGGGTTTAAGCAATTCTCCTGCCTCAGCCTCCCAAGTAGCTGGGATTACAGGCATGCATACCAACACTTGGCTAATTTTTGTACATTTTGGTAGAGAGAGGATTTCACCACGTTGGCCAGGCCGGTTGAACTCCTGACCAAAAGTGATCCGCCCACCTCAGCCTCCCAAAGTGCTGGGATTACAGGTGTGAGCTACCATGCCAAGCCTCATCTCTGCTTCTAATGGTCAAGGACCATCATCCACATAGCAAAGGCTAACAATTGCATGGGTGGAGAACCTGCCCCATCAACTTTGTTTTCCATGTATTCACCAGGTATCACCCACACATCATCATCCAGTGGGCACAGGAGAGCAGAGACAGCACGCGCACACGGTCCTGTCCTCCCCACCCAGAGGCACGGTCAGCCTAAGGTATGACAACTTAAAATTCTACATACTTCACCTCAAGGGAATTAACTGTAAAATAGGACAGCAGAGGGAACCCTGAGAGATGATCTTCTATAAAATTTCTCCACAACTGACAAAATTTCCTTTCATTTTTTTCCCGTGGTTTTTCCCATCCATTACCTATTAATGAAGATTTGTTGTTTTAAAGGGTAATTATTTAAAGTAAGGCTTTTTTTTTTTTAAGAGAGTAGGTAATCGTGATTATTAGGTCTATTTAGAGCCATCTTGTATTAACCTATATATTAAATGAACTATGAGATACAATTTTTATTACAGATCAAGGACGACCTCCCCAGGAGTTCCTTAACCAAAATACAGTAGTCCCCTTTTATCCATAGTTTTACTTTCTGCAGTTTCAGTTACCCAAGGTCAATTGTGGTTCAAAAATATTAAATGGAAAATTTCACAAATAATTCATAAGTTTTAAATTGCAAACCATTCTGAGTAGTATGATGAAATTTCGTACCATCCAGCTCTGCCCTGCCTGGGATGAATATTATCCCTTTGTTCAGTGTATCCACACTGTCTACACTATTCGCCCATTAGATTAACTGTTACAGACTGTGCTTGTGTTCAGCCAACCTTCTTTTACTTAATAATGGACCCAAAGTGCAAGAGTGGTGAGGCTGGAATTCAGATATGCCAAAGATAAGCCGTAAAATGCGTCCTTTAAGCAAAAAGGTGAAAGTTTTCAACTTAACGAGTAAAGAAAAAAAAATTGTACACTGAGGTTGCGAAGATCGACAGTAAGAATGAATCTTCAATCCATGAAACTGTAAAGAAAGAAAAAGTCATGCATAATATATATGTGCTTTGTACTATCTGCAGTTTCAGGCATCCACTGGAGGCCTTGGGACATATCCCCCACCCTTACCAGGGACTGTTGTACTAGAAATTGAGAATGAGGGAGCATATGAAAGTACCTAATTAAAAACTTGAAAGAGCAATGTTGCTGTCTACTGGCATTTCTTGTGTTTACTTGTTCAATGCAGTTTTATGAAGATGGCCAAATTGACATGTCCACAAATAGACAAATAGAAGCTTAAGGGATATGGTAGCAAATTTTCACAGTTGAGTGTAGTGGCTGTGAAAACAACCAGCACAGATTAGAATCTGAACCTAGAGAGGTACCTTTGTCGCCCAGGCTGGAGTGCAGTGGCATGATCTCAGCTCACTGCAACCTCCACCTTCTGGGGCTAAGTGATTCTCCTACCTCAGCCTCCTGAGTAGCTGGGATTACAGGCATGTGCCATCATACCCGGCTAATTTTTGTATGTTTTTAGTAGAGACAGGGTTTCACCATGTTGGCAGGCGAGTCTCAAACTCCTGAGCTCGTGATCCACCCACCTTGGCCTCCCAAAGTGCTGGGTTTATAGGCGTGAGCCACCACGGCCAGCTTTTTTTCTTTCCCCTCACTCTTTCGACGGATTTTGAGCTCTCCAAAGAATGCCCATTGAATCCCTCCCACTAAACTAATCTTCCTCATCTGTCTTGCAGGAAGCCCAGGGGAGAGGGCAAAAAGTGTCGGAAGGTGTACGGGATGGAGAACCGAGACATGTGGTGTACCGCCTGCCGCTGGAAGAAGGCCTGCCAGAGGTTCCTCGACTGAGAGGCCCCCAGGCAGAAGGGCTCAGCGCCCTGAGCCGATCCTGGCCTGGCTTGCTGCTGCAGGTGTTGGAAAGAGCTTTTCCTGCTGAATACAACACAGTCGAAGCCAGGAAAACCTTTTCAGGAACCTTGGAGGAATAACAGCAAAAACAAAGAAAAAAAATTTTTAAGTCACCACCTATGACAGAAGAAAGTTGCTCTTACTAAGAACCCAGTCTGGAGCAGCTATACCTGGTTTTTTTTCCTTCAAAAGAAAAGTCAACTTTTTTTGCTGTATGTCTAGACTTAAAACTGTGGACTTCTGTAGCAATTGAACCAACAAAGCCCATTTTACCTAGAAAGTAGGCATATTTTGATAAGCTTTCTGAATTATGCCATTTCCAAGATTTTTTTGACACTTAAAAAACCAGCTACAGGTTATTCAGTAGCATTTGTACAAAAAACAACACCTACTTTTATTGTGAATAATCTTTTCCCTGTTTTTCCATTTGACTTCTTGGAGCAGTATACATCAGGATGTGTTGCAAGAAAGCGCAGCACTCTGGACACCTTTTCTATGTCTTTTTGTTTTGTTTTGAAGAATGACCCCAGCTGAACCATGGTAGAGCTATTAGCTTATAGAGCCCCAGATGGCATAAATTTGAGAAGCAATTATCCATGGAAATCACCAGCAGACTTCAGCCCCACACTGAGTTCAGGAAGTCCAGCTGTCACTGTTGGGAAACATCTAGGAGTCTTCCTTGAATCCCTAAGAAGCTCTTCCCCTAGAGGCAGCAGAGCTCGCTCTGTCTGCCTGCCGCAACTCGGTCAAGAACTGGCACCTGTAGCCATCTGGGTAAGCCTTGATGCTTCTTTCAGGGATGTGACACAAATGGCAGCTTGGAGCGATTTGTTACTACTTGTCTGTCAAGATTGTAGGCAGGTTAATGGGTCATTTTCCTTCTCTCCAAACTCCACCACTGACTGATTTCAGAAGAGGTAGAGAACTCCAAGCTGTCCCAGTAGGTTTGCTTTAAACAACAAAGCACAGCCCACATGGCCCCACCTGTTCAGAAAGTCATGTTAGGCTGACAAACCACTTCCATTCTGAGCGCACTTTTATAGGTTTTATGCTTTAGCATGTCTGGGAGATGAGTTAATTAACAATATAAGCATTGTGGGTAAATGGAAGGTCCAAATCTTAATTTTTTTTCTTATAAAAATATTGGAGCTATTCATTTAAGAATTCACTCAAAAAGGAACATACAGAACACCAAAAGGAGAATGCATGTTGGTATAGGAATTTCTCGATTTAGTAGGGCAGGGGCTTGCACTATGTTCCATTTACTGGGCTTTGTAATTTGCTTGCTTGCTTGTTTGGGAGGTAGTGGTGTGGGGAGATGGGAGTCATTGTCAAGCCGTATAAATAAGCTCATTTTCTATCTACCCTACTCTTGATTGCCCAGCGAAAGAGTTATTTCTCCTATACCTATGCAAAGTAGGAAGAGCACCTTATAGGAGGCGCCGTTTAGGGAGAGGGGACATGGGATCAGCCATAGGAATGTTAAATGAAATTGCACAGGAGAGTTTAATATATGTCTAGAGATTGTACATACACTTTTTAAAGAGTAGATAGAAGTCATCTAGTAATGAGATATTCTTTTTATATATAATCAAAGAAAGTATAAGGAGGTTCCACAGCGTGACATCCATGGTCTGTGCATTCACTTATTATGGTATTTTTATTTTTTAAACTCTCATCTATTTTTTTTTAGAAATTATTCCTTGGAAGAGATCCTGATTTTTTTTTCTTTAAAAACATTTACTTTAAGAGAAGATTAAAAGAGCTTCATCTAATTTTGCATCTTGATTGCCAATCAGTACTAGTTACAGCACCAGCAATACTGTATTAGACTTACAAGGTCAGCCAGGAAATGGCATTTTTAAAAAACACAGAAGTGTGTTTCTTTCTTCTACTCTCAAGTCCTTTCTTCTCCTGGTGTCCTGTCACCTCCCCTGCAGCACCACTGATGTGAGATGATGCTCTGGCCTGGTCCAGGAAACCCTAAGTGATAGGTAGATTGCCCAGTGGCCAAAATGACAGGGTATAGTCCTGGACCAGAGGTTTTTCTCTTCAGCAAAGCTCCCTGGCCTATGATTATTGGACTGTTACTAATAGAAAAAGATTCAAGTCATGAAGTATAAAATCCATCCCCCATTCCAGAACTTTGAAACCGAGGAGGGAGAGATCTTTGCTTTGGAACAGTCCTGGAGCAAAGCCTTGTGGCTTTTACCTCCAAAAGCCACATATACCACATAAGTAGTGCTGAGCTAGCTCCAGCTTAGCTGAGCCCAGCTCAGTCCCTACCTGGTGTTCAGCTAGTACACAGGTGTAAGCAGAACTATGGAGCTGAATGTAGCTTCCCTGGGATCTCTTCTCCTTTCTAAAGCCTTTTTCACACAGACAGCTTCATATTTCCTGCCTAAGTTGGGGCTCCTTTCTGCCTGCCAGCCCAGGTCTCTGTGTACTTTCTTTTCTGGCTTCAGGTGCAGGCAGACCCCTCAGTACCTTCCTGGACACAGACACATATTCCCTGGACCAAGGCATAAAATAACTAGTAGACCACCAAGCCACGCATGGCTGGCCCTGAAGAAAAGGGATTATACTCCTTACAGGTCACCCAGAAAGCTATAAATTCTAATACACACTGCTGAACATGCAAGTTAGGGTCTGGTTTTTTTTTTTTTTTTTTTTACATGTAGCATTATTTTGTTCTATTTTGGAACTAAATGAAGTGCCAAATTAGCCAGACATTCGTTTGATGCCATCTCTGAGGAACCAAGTTCTCTGTGTTCTTTTGGCTGGGAGGAGGGGAACGGCTGGGCAGAGTGTTCCCACAGCAGGCTGGCGGTGGAACTGGAGCCCCAGCCACTGCAGGGAGCTCAGAGGCCTGTCAGGCAAAAGGCAACACAATAGATTCTGGTCCCGAAATATTTCTAAGTAAGGCATGATGTAGCCTTTTGATTTTTTTTTTTCCTGCATTGACACCCCTGCCTTCAGAAAACGTTTCTCATCTCTCTCCAAAGAAGTCATTTCGTAGTGACTGAAAGGACATTCTCCAGAAAGCGACAAAGCAGAGTGGCCAGCAGGCAGTGGTGTTAAGCCTTGGGCCTTCCCAGAAGATGCGTGCTGCATAGGTGGAGGCAGTGTGACAACCTGGAGAAAATACACAGGTAGCCAGGGGGTCAGGGAGGAGGTACAAGGGGCTCATGGACATCTGGCTCCCACTCATCTTCTTGGTGCTGATCAGCTAGTGGTCACTGTCACTGAGCACCTCCCAGGGATCTTCCATTTTCTCCTCTGGGAGCAGCTGCCTGAAGCAAGGGGAGAATGACCTGAAGGAAAGTACCTCCAGCCATGAGTGCAGGGCTGCTGTGCCCAGCCCAAGTGGGCATCTCTAGCAGACACAGACTTCTCTCCACCTCACTAGCTGAAAAGTGTCCTCCCTTGGTTGGCAAAAGCCAGTCAGGAAAGAAGCCGTGGGCTTCTGAGCAAGAATGTGTGCGCTTAGCTGCAAAGTGCCCGTCAGCAGCTCCAGGCACCAACAAGGTGCCCTTTTCTTAGAAAATTCCTCACCCGAACATAACCATGTTGCAGATGCAAATTTTTAATAGAGAATGACACAATTCTTCACCTTTCTTTTAGAAAACTTTTCAAAGAGATAGTCACAGGTGTATTTGTTGCAAAAGATTTTTGAAACTGAAATGTCCTCCATTAAATCTCAAGATCACTCAAGTTTCTTAAGTCTGCTGCCTCTGGTGTCACACTGAAGCCACACTTTTGAAAGCAGCCCTGAGTTCTGAATTAGCTGGCACTGCTGAATCCACGTCCCCACTTCATCAGACTCCAAAGCGCAAAGGTTCAGAGAAAAGTGGCCAGAGTTGTACACAGAAGAGAGAATCCCTTGAGAATAGTAGCAAAAGACTGTAAATAATATTCATTTCCTCAGGGAAAAATAAAGGGCATGCAAAAAATAGGTCTGGAGACTCCTAAAACTAGGAAGAATTTTGTTATCATCACTAAAGTCTTTTCTAGTCAGAACAATTCTTTTTTTCAAATGAACATCGTATCATTTCAAGACAGATGTATGTGAACTGAGCAGTACTGACATTTGTGAGGCGTGGGGGAGTGCCCTGGGAAAATAAGCTGTTTAGCTTGTAGCTGACCTATAGCCTAAGGCTAACATTTGAACTACAGGTGCAATGCCTGGGGAGTATTCATAGACTCTTGTAAGGCTTTTTCTGAATGTAATTGTGAATACAAAGCCTTGCTGATCCTTTTTATTATTACTCATTGGGTGACTGTTTATTAGCTATCAGCAGAATTCTGTAAGTGAAAGCAAGCCCTGAGCGATGTACATTTTGCTTTAATAGCATGTTAGCAAACAAACTTCCATGGACTCTTGTGGGCAAGGTGCTGCTTTTTCTCATGACCCTGTAGAATTGCTATCGACCACTTCTTCTGTAGCATTGACCTGTGTGAACCTGGGGAAGAATCTGTGCATACAAATGAGTGGAAACAGAGCAGGATTCATGAATATGAATGAGAATGTGGATCATTTTGGAGAACACCCTGGGCACATGGGTCAACTGGAAATTTCATTTCTCTAAGTAAGTAGCCCTACCAGCGGCACGGACTGTCCCTGTTCCTCGTACCTGTGGGGATTCCTCCATAGTGGAACTGTTTCTTGTGTCTTTTTTGCATTGTAACTAGCCAAACCTGAAATCAGTAAATAAAATGAGATTAGCACTTTTAGGAACCAGTTGTATCACTGAGTAATGCACACCAATAGAGCAAGAAGGATAAAATGTATTTAAGACCAACTGGTTTACTTATTATGACTGACTTTGAAAAAGCCCATATCCAATGATATACATGCTTTAAACGGTATATCTATCATAGGACCAGGAGCCAAAATGGGAATTTTACTTCTGGTCCTGTTTTGTAAATAGTTCCTTTTTTGAAGACAATCTCATGTTTTATAACTTTTGTTGTGGGTCTGAGAATCACAATGGTAATATGTTGTGGCAAAATGTAATCTTTAAATACAAAAACAATTATAACTTAATTTTCCAAATAAAACAAGAAATATACTGGTTAGGCTTCTACAGTTCTAAGAGACATGACACTTTGGTCATAAGCGTCAGTACTCAACTTCTTAAGTTAACTGGAAATATTTTACAAGATGCAGTGTTTTGTAATCACAAAGAACACAGACATTTTGTGAGAAATGACCTTGGTTTTATACATTGTAGCTTATTTTTTAAAATATAGTATTTTACCAGACAGGAAGTGTTAATATTATAAGTAATTCCTGCTCACCAAAGGGCTATGTCTCTTTTAAGCAAATGTTTTGATGCATATCTTTTTAATTAACCCTCTGCAGCAAGGGTAGAAATACAGATCAGATGGAGAATGGGTATAAGAGAATCAAGATAGCAGCAGCTACTCCTTTTATCATTACTACTATGTTTGCAAAGTATGGAAAAAGATGCCTGAAGAGTCATTTTATATATTTTAAGTCTAAAAAATGTTAACAGATATGCTTATAGGCCATGGGAGAAATATTCTTATAAATTTTTTAGTGTAAAATGATAAATTCTGTGTCACAAAGACAAGTTTACCACTTGACCTACCAGAACCACAAAATACTTGCACTTAACCAGCAAGTATCATTTGGTGGAAATTTCTAAAATCATAGTAGATAGGCCCAAAGATTGAATTCTTAAGTGATCAGTAGTGTTTAAAATAATTTTGTCCTCAGCACTAACTATAACTGTAATTTCCTCATAAGAAAAAGTGCTTCCAAAATATAGTGGAGGGACAAAAAAAAAAAAAAAGAAAAAGAAAAAGAAAATTAAATAAATAAATAAAAACAAATGCTTGATTCTTCACTGTGAAGAACTAGCAGGCACACGAGGTTGTGATCAGAAAGTGACTGCATTCCCAAGAACCAGGAAACAGAGGGGAGCTGTGGAGAGTTTATTAAAACTGCACAAATAATTCAGAGCTTTGCCAAAACCATTTCATAATGCTGTACAGCTTTTTCAAGCCCACTCACTGGTAAAACAAGAAAGCATCTTTTCTTTCTAAGATTTTAGTAATCCAAAAGCTGGCCTAATTAGCCAAGGACGCAGATAACATCAAAAGCAAAGCTGAGATAGAACAGCCATACACCCATTGGGCAGCTCTTATGATGTGGTCAGAAGGTCACTCAGACCTTGGTTTCACATAGGCTTTAGAATCTGCACATGTGAGGACTAGAAACACACAGAGTTCAGAAAAACTGTGTACGGCCCTGGCTCTGGGTCTTTGAGATGAGGCGTCCTGCAAATCTCTGTTTTCACTCCTTGGAATGTCTCCATTATTAGCATTAAAGTCCCCAAGCAGTTTTTATTGCTGTACAGTTTTGAACCAAATGAGTCTCATTTCCTCTTTAAATAGAAGATTTCCAATTCTATATAGGAGAGGTTGTAAATGTCAGTGCCTCAGAAGGACCAGGCAAGTTCTGTAAATGATTGATGTGGATCAGGCAAAGAGGAACACGAGAATGGTGGGGACTACATTGAACTGGAGAACACATGCCCTCTTTGAAGGGATGCCCACACTCAGCTCTAGACAATCAGAACCATGCAGAAATCAGACCCAGGGCTGCTAGATCGTCTGACTTGGAAATATGGTATTACCTGACATAGAAGTGTTGACAGCTAATTCAAACTCTTGGCCCACACTGTGCAGACCAAAGAAAAGCTGTACATGGGCAGATGCAGCCTGCAGCCCCTAGTTTCAACTATTGGGGAAAGTGGATTTCACATTCCGTGGTTGTCAGGTCAGATTCAACCATCAGCCCCACAAACTGGCATGTTGGCACTATCTGGGCAACTAAAATAAAAAAGGGGAAAGAGGTCATGTCTCCCCAGAAATCATTCTCATGGCAGATTTGAATATAGATATGCTGAGTTATCCAGCGCTCTCACTCTGCCTCCTTTTGGCATGCCCAGGCTGTGCCCCCGAGAGCATCGAATCACTCTTTTCTTAATTTTTTGTTTTCTACCGTGGCCACTGTGATGAGGGGCTGGCAAAGAGCAGCCTTGTGCCTTCTGAGAAGGCGGCCAGGAGCCTCTGAAGCTTGACACAAGCACACTTCGTTCCCGTGTAACATTACCACTGCTTCACCTCTGAATAGCAAAAGCCTTGCTTCAGAACTGGTAAGCACTTAGGTTATTTTGGAGTGTCCACTAACCTCAAAAGGAGGTTTTTCCACATACAAAACCCTAGCATCTTTGAAGGCAAAAGCAAAATGAGAATAAATGTGTCATGAAAAAAGTTAGAAGTTTCTTCCTTCATTTAGATGGACTAAGTTAGGCTAAACTGTATCTTACGTTGGAGTCCTGATGATATTGGGATAATCACCCTTTCACAACACTGTTTCATTTGATCTTTATAAGAACCCAGTGTAGAATAGGAATAGTTAGAATCACCATTACCCACCTCCAAGGCCAACCCAGAATAGTCTTGAACCTGAATCAGCCTCAGTATTGTTTGCAAGGAAGAGGGCAAGGGCTCATTAAAGGCCTGGCTCAGACCTTAGTCTTCCAGACTGACTAGGGACGTAAGAAGACCCAGGGACCCCACCAAGTTCTCAAACCATCTTTTCAGTCCAGGCTTTTCAGCATAGACATGAAGAGCCCACCCGTTACTTAATTCATGTTGCCAAGTGCAAACTGATTTATCCCCAGATGAATCCCTTTACTGTAACGAATCCCTAATTCCTAAATTCCAACCAATTTGGTAGTTAATTATAGGAGCTTATTAGCTAAATGTATGTTCTGAGTAAAAGTTTTGACTCCTTGGGGAAAATTTCTTTCGCTGCTAGCATACAACATTTGCTATGTATATAAACTTAAGTCAATGCCAGAAATTTTTAAACCAGCTCAAATTTATAATCTGTAATGATCAAATCAAAACATACTGTAAACTCAGAGTTGGAAGTGCCTGGTAATATGGTTAAGTTGTGTTTAAATGTGAATGCAATTTACATGACATTGGCAATGCCTGAGATTTCTTTCATTGCGAATGATTAAAAGGCAGTCCAATATACGAATGGCTTTCATCTTACCCTTCTCCCATTGATTTACTAAGTATAACATCTTGAGTTTAAAGTCATTCACAGGGAGTTTAGTCATGGAGCTAGAAGGAGCCTCAAAAAAAACCATTTTGGCCAGTCTTCCATGTCATGAACAGGCTTTTTGATGAATGATACTTATTATTATGTTTCTAAAGTAATGCAATGTTGGAGAAGGAAACAGTCTAGTGCTTTCCTCTTCTGATGGAAGAGAATCATAGTTAGCACCATTGCTATAACAGGATATAAAAAGGCCCATGAAGAAAGAAAGAAGAAGAAAGCCATGGTTCTAAAAGCAGTTACCGTAGGTTTTGAAAGAAGGTGGAGATGGTGATTAAACTGTAGTCCTTGTTTTTTAAAAATGTTATTTCATGTTAGGCACCATCCACATAGTTATTAACCACCAACTTCCAAAGAGAAGATCCCCTTGATTTATTTGTATCATGAAAATACTAAAAACTAATTCTCAAGTCTAATTATTACATTCTCTTACTAGGGCTATTTCCCTAAATTTTTAATTCAGAAAATTAATCAGAGCTGGCCAGATGCAGTGGCTCATGTCTATAATCCTAAGTATTTTGGGAGACCAATGCAGGTGGATCACTTGAGGTCAGTAGTTTGAGACCAGCCTGGCCGACAGGCAAAGAAAGAGTGAAAACAAGAAAACAAAGTGAAACCCTGTCTCTACTAAAAATACAAAAATTAGTTTGGTGTGGTGGTGCACACCTGTAATCCCAGCTACTTGAGAGGCAGAGGCAGGAGAATCCCTTGAACCCAGGAGGCAGAAGTTGCAGTGAGCTGAGATTGCACCACTGCATCTGGGGAACGGAGTGAGACTATCAGTAAAGAAGGAAGTTTCCTTTAAACAAACAAAAACAAACGTGCCCAATCTATTTCTTCTGAAGTCTGTCTGCATCCTTAAGAGGAAAACCAGCACTCTAGGGAGGAAACTGAGCTTTACAAGAGAACAGTCCCCATTCTAGCTACCAGTCTTGCTTTCTCCCATTTTGGCAACCCCAATCAATTTGCTATTGAAAAGGTTACTCTCCCCTTTGCCCTCATCTCCCTGAGCTAGAGGCCAGGCTGTTGTTAACGTTTTTCAATTCCAAAGCCCCTGATGGACATTCTTGTTTCTGTGCTACTGCTTTCTCTCTCTTAAAGTGCAAGGGGATAAATATTACTATGACTGAGATGTTAGCCTCAGTGTGGCTATCCCCTTCCTTCAGGGGAAAAATTCCATCTGTCTGAACCGTTTTCGGTGATCATGAGTAGAGCAGCTTAGTCAGCAGACAGACAGCCACACTCATCACAAAAGATTTGTTCAAACTCACTGTAAAGAATGACAAGACAGATAGCTAATCCTTTCACTGTGCCTCGAAGCTCCCCTGTGCAAGTCACCAACCCTACCAGTCCCTTTCATATGCGAGGCTAATAGAGTGATCAGAACCAGCAGTGTAAGCTGGGTTCCACCTTAGGAGGGGAGAGAGCAGAGCAAGAGGGCTCCACGTTTAATTACTCCAGGCTCTGACTTCTGCCCACAATTACAGAGCATGAAAGCAGAATTGGCCTTTAGTATGTGAAAAGGAAGTGGCTCCTACAGGGTATCATTGTTATAATTTCATATTTATGGAAAAAGAAAAGGATTCCAGCTCACTCATGTTGTTAAGGACTTGTCCCTCACTCCACCAAAGCCCCCTTTCTATGTTTTGGGCACAGATGGCTGGGACCAAGAGGAGGGAGGAAAAGCTCTTAGGGCCAGCGTTTGCCAGAGTGTGAATTACCCCTCAGGGATCTACAGCAGAGTTTAATGATAAACTACTCACACTCCCCCAGAAAAGATTGAGGATCAATGCATAACTTTGCAGATTACAAACCCATGTTTTCCTTTTTAGACCTTTTTTCCATACTCTGCTTAACTGGTACTAAATGGCTGTGATGTGACCAACACCTGTGATGATAGCAAAGCCCCTCCTTCCACAGTCTCCCCACTGTCGGGGAACATCCTTGGTCATTGGTAGAAAGCTTTAGAAAACACTTAGATTTTTAGGGAAGAACTAAAAAGTCCCCAAAACATACTAGTCTGTGATTAAAATAACTGAAAATGTCCTCGCTGTAAACTAATCCAGGAATCTGGATCATATATGTTTAAAAAAAAAAAAAATCCCATGTATCAATATTTTCCTACAACACACTCTAAAAGTCCTATTTTTGTAATTAATGGTTGGACAGTGATCAGCCATTTAAACACAGGCTCTCTGGAATAACCAGACACTAGAATAGATTCCAAAGTGTTTTGTGTATCAAAATCCTATATACTTAGAAGAAGAACTCAGGACAAGAAAAAATCGCTAGGTCCCAAAGGGTTCATGACTATCATCAGATGCAACTGCAAGTGGCCTACGGTCATTTTTTTCAAATGAGAAAGCTGGAGAGAGAGAACAACAGTAATCACAAAACCTCTGTTGCCCTTAGTCCATGACAGTGTTTAAGGAAACTTTTTAAAATTAAGCCATCTTTTGAATTGTTTTCTATACCAAATCTAAAATATTAAAATGAAATTATTAAATATTTAAAATGGGGTATTTAGTGGAAATGCAATCAGTAGAAAGCATTGCTTTTTAGTGCCTGCTAAACAAGTAGAAAGAATGAAGAGAGAACAGCTGTCCTTCCTGTGTGACACTCGTGTGAAAATGACAGGCATTCACAGGTCATTGAGCGCTCAGAAGCTAGGTGGCAATGCTGTCCAATGGTTAGAGATCTTTTGAAATATAACCTTATCACCATTCGGAGGTAAGTACTTGCTTACAAAAGTCTTTAATATTAGTAAATGAATGTATAAAATTATAAACTATGCATTTTCAAAGAGTAACATGTAGTTTATATTGAATCCGAGTAAATTTTTTTCACAGCTGCCTACCACAACTGCAAATTATTCAAAATAAACTTGGATACATATTCTTATGGGAATATGGGACACCCATCGATATTCTCCTACTTGATGTTTTTAAAGATTGAAACTTTAAAACATCAGGCTCTAAGAAATTCCATCATTAAGATGAATAAATGGGAAATGGTTTATTTTTTACTTCTTAAGCATAAATGGGAAATGTTGGCTGTTAAAATATGTGCCCAGTTCTTTAAAGGTGGATGTTCTAGTAACACTGGATTAACAAGCAAACAGAACTGCATGAGGTGAACGAATATTTCATTGTATAAATATAGCATAGGTTTTATCTGTTGGATTTAATTCTCAATCCAAGAAAAAAATGTTCTTCAAGGGGTTTCGGTTATAGTTTCAAATAACAAAATATGAAAATATTGTCCAGCAAAGCAAATAATTGATTTTTTCAAAATTACTTATATTTGGGAAAGACTATATAGAATACACACAAATTTCTTCAGCCCTCTTGTTGATTTCATATTTTCATGAAACCTTTTCCCCTAATAATTTGTCTTTACTATTTAATCAGTGCTTTACTACATTACTCCGCATGAAAAAATATCCTTTCCTTCATCTGACAATATGGAAAAAACTCCATTTCTCTGCCATTCTGGTTCTCTTCAATGTCCATTGAGAAAGTTTCTCAACTGTTTGTAAAATGTGGGGAAAAAATGCATTTCTAAACCTGGTACTTAAGGTTATACTGGATTGTTTGCTACCTAATTAGAAGTTATTAGGGGAGGGGCAATATGTGTCTTTTTATATGATTTTTAGCCAAATCTAGATGTTCTGATACACATTTCTGAATACCTATCTGACTGTAAATACAGCCAGCGGAGGTTCAGGTTGATAAACCTTTTACCTGACTGTTCCTCAGCCATGCTCCTTGCCAGCTCCTGGCACATTGTACATAGATTTGTCGAATGTTTAAATGATGTTGTTTTTCTAAATGCTGTTCTCTACAACAATTTTTGAATTTCTTTTGCTCTCCATTGTTTTGGACTTTGTGTGTTCATTTAAAAAAAAATGTTTCCTAAATATTTAACACCAGGAAAAATATTTTTAAATAAACTGGTGCTAACTGAAACAGAAGGAAATTTTCAAATTGAAGATGTACAATATTAAATGTTCACACCAGTTAAACTGCACTTTCCCAAGGGGACAGCTGGCATCTACCTGAAATGGGCATCAAGAGACCACCAAATGTTTACAGTTTCTGTGGCCCATTTAAGTGTAAAATGCAGAAGTGGCTCTGTCCCCCCAGAGTTGAGGATTTGCTACGCTGGGTCTCTGGAAGCATTTAAGTAGAAGAAAAGGTTTATAGTAAGAATCACTTTAGTAATCGTCTTCTGGTCCTTGGACTTTTCCGTTCTGTAATGCTTGTAACAATGAATATGGTGTTGCCAATCTAGTCTGATATCATCGTTGACTTGTACTTACTTTGTGGATGGTTCTATCTGGGGTTGCACTGGCACAAACAGAGCCAGAACACTGGACTTTCAATAAGACCATTTTGACTTCTACAGTGTCCACACACATGAATTTAAATGCACTTGTAACTGGTTAATTACCATGAAGTAAGTCTAACTTCCACTTAATAAAATTTTTTGTGTATCTGCTTCTATTTGGAGACCATTTATTTAAGTTAAGGATAACTAATTTATACCAAGAAAGGCTCACTGGGGCTTGGGGTTTTACCTAGAGTTGTAAAAATAGTTCAAAACCAAGGAGATGCCTTCATCATCAAGGCCATTTTTAGAAACACGTGGAAGGCCTGTCTCCTCATATTCAGCCCTGCTTATGACAATTTCAACCCATTCCCTTAGCAATGATTTTCCACATACGTCAGCTGCTGACCCTGTGCTGCTGACTCTGTTGTCCCAAGCAAGTAGACAACGTGGCAACCAGAGGAAAAATAACCTACTTTGAAGCTAAGCCAGCTTGGAATTGTCATCCTCAGGCCTTGGGGCTCTTGAA